CCCCGGGGGGGGGCAGGCCAGGGCTGGGGGCTCCGCCACGCCCCTCGCCGCCCGCCTGGGGGGGACACCCCTGGCCCCCACCGTTCCCCTCGGCCCTTTCCAGAGCAGGCAGGGGCTCGAGAGGAGCACACCAGCCAGCCCTTCCAGGGGCCTGCCCACCATGGCCGGGGCGGCGGTGAGAAATTCGGCAGGCTGGCCCCAGCACCTCCCTGCCTCTCCCTGACACTGAGCATGTCCTGGCTCTGGCAACCCCGGCTGCTTCAGGCCCCTTTCTGAGAGGATGCTGGGCAGCCTCCCCCCCAGAGAGCTGGCACCAGCCCCCCAGCTGCTCCCCCGAGGGGACTGCCTCCTTCCGTCCCAGCCTGGGGAAGTAGCTGTCCCTTCCGCCTCAGGCCAGGGTCATGCCATTGCCCTGCAATTGTCCAGCCGGCGTTTGCTGGGAGTGGCCGTAGCCAGAGCCTTTGGTGTGCCCAGCAGAGCCCAGTGGTGCTAGAACAACGCTCAGCCGCCGGGGCACGTACCCCGATCCCCAGCGTCTCGCAGCCCAGGGCTGGTCCCCGCGGCTGGGGCCAGAGTTGCCTGCCGACAGGACTAGCCACCTCCGGGAGCGGGCGGGTGTAGCGCGTCGGGGGTGGGATTCACACCCGAGGGAGGGGAGTCGTACGGCGGCGAGTGGCAGTGTAGCTCTGGCTCAGTGTTGTGAGACTGTCAGAGCATCACAGCCCTGAAGCTCCAGCTACTCCCCAGAGCAGTGTCCCCAACCTTTTGGGGCTGCCGGGCGCCCGGGGGTGGGGCCGCACACGCGCCACTTGCCCAAGGCCGGCTTGAGCCATTCCTGCGCCCCAGGCAGCGGGCGCGCAGTGCATGCATGGCTCCGCCCCAGGGCGCATGGTGCGTGTGCGGCCCTGCCCCCCCGGCACACAGCGCGTGGGGGACCACTGCCCCAGAGCATTGTGCATTGGGAAGAGGGTGGCCGTGGAGTCTGTGCCATGGGAATAGACCCCACCTTTGTGACGTGCACCACACTCACCCTCACACCTCCACCCGCTGCAGCGACCCGCCCACGCCGCCTCTGCCCGCCACCACCGGCTCGTGACCCCACCCC